TCCCTCCGCTCCGAGCACCGTCGACTTTTTCTTCTCCGTCCAGCTACCACAACATCTACTCCATAAGGTCATTCGGTAACTTCATCTTCTTCGAGCTCTATCTTCACATGTTCGGGAATTCAAGACCGGTATATTCGTGCTATTTTGTGACGTATTGATCTTGCTAGAGTTGATTGTTGAACATTTTGATTGAGGAAAAGGGTCTCACCATTGTTGTCTTCTCCGAGCTTTGAGTTCCAAATTGTGTCTTCCAAGTGTTTGATAAATTGCCTAAGTGAGCTTCTTCAACATAATGGTGATCAAACGCAACAAACGGAAGGCCACTCAGGGAGAGTCGTCTTCCCAAGCTGAGCCGGTCGATCTACGGGTACAGTACAATGCCCCCTTAACATCCTCGACGTCCGAGAGGGGGAAATATACTCCCGGCTAGCGAAGAAAGAGGTCCTGAAGTCCAAGACATTCGACTTCACGTTGCTTACGGACCTCGGCATCTTGGAGACGGTTGAGCATTACTTAGAGGCGCTACATATGAGGAGATATGCCGACGTCTTCCACCCGACTTACCGGAACCTCACGCTCGAGTTCTTTAGTACACTTGAGTTCCGACGGGAAGCTGATGGATCCGCCACTATGACTTGTCGTTTGCTTGGGACCCGGAGAGTCATAGGCGACGCCACCATTGAGCGTGTTTTGGGACTTCCAGGTGGCGGCTACTCGGTGGTATCTGGCATGGTTGCTGCTCAATTTTGGACCGATCTCTGTCCCGACAGTGTGTGGGATTCTCAGGGCATGCCCAACAGCCTCATCGAGCACAACGCGATTGCCGTTATGCACAAGTTTTTGTGCTATGGCCTCTTCGGTAAAAAAGAGGCTAATAAGGTCAAGCAGATCGACCTTTCCGTGCTCTGGGCCATGTTTGGGCGTACGAATCTGGATATGCAGGAGGTCCTCAAGAACGAGTTTCGGGCAATGCTCCGGAATAAGCACGCGGCTGCAGGTTTCGGACACGTAGTGACAGCTTTCGCTCTACATCTCGGTATCGATCTGGCGGCGTCCGGCAGTCCACTAGTTCCGATGCGGCGCATTGACACGTTTGAGCTGATGAACCTGATCTCCGACCGGCGTACATTCACTGATTATAGGCGGCGTGGAGCCTACTCCTTATACATGAAGAAGTTGGATGCTGCCGCTTCCGCTGGCCAGGCCGGATCATCTCGTCCTCAGTAGGAGGCTGCCGATACCCATGAGGCGGAGGAGATGGAGCATGATCAGACTGTTCTCGACGATAGCCGTCTCCTTCCGCCTCCTTCCGGTTGGCAGCCCGCTCCAGAGCCCGATCGCCGAGAGCCACGGGCCACGCATCATCATCAGCAGCGTCCCGGCTGCATCGTCTGTACCGCCCGCCTGGTGGTCCCATCCTCCTCCGTGGTGGGCAGAGTTCGAGGAGCGTGACGACAGAGACATGCGGGGTTTTGACGCGCGCTTTTAGGCTCTTGAGGCCAAGTGGGATGCTCAGTTTGGTTCCGGCGCCGGCCAGCCCTATCCTCCTCCTCCTCCTAGTCCAGGACCACAGTGACTTGTCACTGTGTTGGTCAGCTTTTCTTTTCTTTTCTCTTTTTATTTTTATTTGTTCTTATTTTCGTTCTCTTATTTGTTGAGTCGGTTGATTGTGTAGTACAACTTTCCTTAGCTGCGAGTCGACAATGGGGACATTTCTGATTTTCATTGTGGGGGAGTTTTTGCATATTTATGTGGCTATGTGGTTGACCAGGTCTAGTTTTTATTTATAGGTTGTTTTATTTCTTTCTTTTGCGTGGTGGACCAGTCTAGCTTTAAGTTTTTGTGTTTTTTCTTAGTCTGGATTATGGTGTATTGTAAGACTAGTTGATAACTGTTGGTTGAATTGAGAAGTTGTGATGATGTGATCGAGTAACGTATTTTGATTAATTGGCTTGGTTGTTTTGAGGAACATATTTACCTTGTGAGGTTTGAGCCTGTTTTGTTTCTTATGTGATATTGGTCGGAATATTGTCAAGTAGAATTTGCCTTGAGGCTGCTTTGAAATAACTCGATTAGATTTGTGAAACGTGAATATGATTGAGGCATTCCTTGTATTATCTTTTCCTTTTTCTTTTCGTGAATAACAGTCACTAGTCACCTCCTTTGAGCCTTAATTCATTTTGTTGATTAACCTCGTGATGATATTGAGTTGCGGGATAGTATCAGAGGCGATTGTTAATTGCATTGTATATATGTTTATTTGCTTTGAAAAAAAAAAGAGAAAAAAATGGGGAAGCCAAATGGATTATACTCCTAGCGCTCTGTCCATTAATGTAGTGGATATGAGCCATGAGTACGGGAAACCGGTCTAGAAGACTCGGGCGGAAAATTCGAAGGCTAAACCTAGATAAGACGTCCAAATGGTTTTCAAAAGAAAAAAAAAAGCAAAAAAAAAAAATAAAAAATCTTGGGAAGTATGTTGGACTTGGAGTCAGTGGGAGGAGCCGGTTGGTGACAACTGGATGAGTTGTTGATATGGTTGGGTGAATGGGTTGAGTTGATATTTTGAGCCACTTAAGCCTATATTTATCCTAACCCTGTCCAAAGAGCCTATGTTACAACCCATGAAGTCCTCTTGATTCACTGCTTCATGCATTTGGTTGTTTTAGAGTAGAAGTTAGATGCTAGGCAAATCTATGATTGACTTGACTGACGACCAATTTGAGTGCACCTCTCTTATATTTTGCGAAGAAACTGAGTGAGGCATATATATACATACTTTTACTCGAGAGTCTTTGTTCTTCGAAATAGCTGAGTTGATAATTGAGGTGTGTTCTTGTGATCATTGGAATTCTTCACAGTTCGATTGATGTGTTTGAGATTAGTCTTGCTTGAACCGTTGTCTTTGCTCATTTATTTCTTTTCTTTTCTTTTCTTTTCTTTTCTCTTCTTTTTGTTCGGGAGGAACAAAGGTTTTAGTGTGAGGGAGGTGTTTGTCCCATTTTTATGTCTTTATTTTGGGTTTATTTTTCCTTTTATTTTCTCCATTTCTAGGATTTTCGTAGTTTATTTGGTCCAATTATGTGGTTTTGTGCTTTTCTCCTTAGTTTCTATTTATGTGTCTTTTTGCCGTGTTTTGCTTCGTGTTTTTCTCCGTGTGTGTTTTTTCAGGAGGTAGGTTGTGTCGATCGATGATGGGACTACTTGAGTCGAAAGCGTGATGGTTAGAATACCGTTGTTTAGCTCCGAAAGCTGAAGGCAGGACCGAAAAAATGAACTGGAGGTGTGCCCAGAATTTCTCGCGACTCGCGAGTGAAGTCGCGACTCACGAGATGGTCGCGACTCGCGAGAATGTCACGACTCGCGAGTTCAACAGAGGCTAAAGATGAAGTTTGCAAGCACGAGTCGCGACTCGCGAGTCAAGGTCGCGACTCGCGACTCGCGAGACACGTCGCAATTTTCCCCAGAAAATGAAGATATTTGAAGACGCGTGACTCGCGACCGTGAAAAATATTAAGTCGCGACTCGCGACTTATGTCGCGACTCGCGAGATGGCTGGCGCGAATTTTGAGGCGCGGGTTTTTACATCATAATTAGGGCCTATGATTCAGAATTCACCTCTCAGACTTAGTTTTTACGTACTTCCTCTCTAGAAATTTATTCCTTTTCATACTTTTGCTCTTTTGATTGGATTTTGGAGATTGAAACTCTGTTTTCTAGCTTGGATTTGGATTGTTCATTGGATTTGACATTAGGATTCTCTTTATTAATCGTAAGTTCTTCTTTTCTCAATTGTGTGTTGATGATGATGGCTTGGGTTTATATGAATTTTGATGTTGAATTCCATATGATTAGCTAAATCCATACGCTAGGGATAAGGGATGATTGATTAAGTTCGATTAATGATTGCTTGTTCTTGATTGCTCATTTCTACTCGAGTTGTGCTTATTCTATGGTTAGTAGATTGATCACCTTTCTAACCTAATCAATAAACGTGTAGAATCGAGAGGGGAGACGTTTGTCGACTCAGACTCGTTTAGGGTAGACTTGTTCGTAAAAGTATTGTCTATGAGTTGTTGGAATTGATAGTTGATCGTGTACGTTCACTCTCTTGTTACGAAGAGTTATTGAGAGTGAACCTCTGGACGAGCAATGATTCAAGTCCTTAAACTGAGCAATTGATTGTCGGTAGTTGTGTTAGAACTGAAAGCAATTATCCCCGATTCCCTATCTCTTTAATCATTTAAATTAATTCACTTGCTATTTAAATCGCTTCTCATTTATTTTAAAGTCATTATCTATAATTGAAACCAAAACCATTGAAATAGAGTGTTTTTCGTGATCGAATAATCGTACAATTGAATTCGGCTAACCTTCTTTGCGATACGACCCGGGGAACGAATCTTTCGATTCTACTCCGGTAAAAATACTGACAACAGATATGGTGAAGAGCAGTGTCCTGAACGAAGAAATGAGAAGAAAATCACAGGGCTCTTCTTCACAGACGGATGTCTTATTCGCTGAAAGGTGGGGAAGAAGTAAAAGCAAGAGTCTGAATGATAGAAATCGAAGTAAAAGCAAGTCTGGAAGGTATGTCAACCTTGAGTGTCACCATTGTGGCAAAAAAGGGACACATCAAGAGGTATTGCAGAAAGTTCCTCAAGGAGAATCCGAATGACAAAGGCAAAGAAAAGAAGGCTGGAGATGGTGAAGACGGTGAGAAGGTAGCGGCGGCTACCGATGACTTTATTATCATTTATGAAGGCGATGCCATCAATGTCGCTTACCAGAAGATTAGTTGGGTGATCGATAGCGGTGCTTCGATTCATGTCACATCGCGAAGGGATTTCTTCAGGTCCTATACTTCCGGTGACTTCAGAAGTGTTAGGATGGGAAATAATGGTATTGCTAAGGCAATCGGCATGAGAGACGTGTACTTGGAGACTTAGAATGGCAACACCTTAGTTTTGAAAGGTGTGAAGCATGTTCCCAACATTCGCATGAATTTGATATCTACCGGCAAACTCGATGATGAAGGGTTTTGTAACACTTTTCGAGACGGAAAGTGGAAACTCACGAAAGGATCCTTGATTGTGGCGAGAGGGCAGAAGTATACTTCATTGTACGTGATGAACGTGAAGATTACAGATCCTATGATCAATGCGGTAGATGATGAACGCATTGTGGAACTTTGGCACAACCGACTTAGCCACATAAGTGAGAAGGGCTTGACAGTGTTAGCCAAGAAGAATCTCTTCCTAGGTGTGAGAACAGGTTTTCTGAAGAAGTGTGCTCATTGCTTGGCAGGGAAGCAAACCAGAGTTGCCTTCAAGAGAGTTCCCCACCCACGCAAAACGGGTATTTTGGATATGGTCCACTCTGATGTATGTGGTCTAATAAAGACGAGAACACTTGGTGGTGCCTTGTACTTGATGACTTTCATCGACGATCATTCAAGGAAGATTTGGGTGTATATGTTGAAGACAAAAGATCAAGTTGTAGACGTCTTCAAGCAGTTTCATGCTCGTGTGGAATGAGAAACAAGTGTGAAGCTTAGGTGCATCCGAACAGATAATGGAGGTGAATACTGCGGCCCGTTTGATGAGTATTGTAGGCAGCAGGGTATTCGACACCAAAGACACCTCCGAAGACTCCTCAGTTAAATGGGTTAGCTGAGAGGACAAATCAGACACTAGTTGAGAGGGTGAGATGTTTGCTTTCGCATTCACAGTTACCGAGGTCCTTTTGGGGTGAAGCCTTGAGTACAGTGGTGCATGTTTTTAATCTTACTCCATGTGTTCAATATTACTCCGTGTGTTCCATTGAATTTCGAGGTTCCAGACAGGATGTGGTCGGGAAAGAAAGTTTCGTACGATCACTTGCGTGTTTTTGGATGCAAGGCCTTTGTTCATATTCCGAAGGATGAGAGGTCGAAGCTCGACATGAAAACAAGGCCATGTTTGTTCGTCGGTTATGGCCTTGATGGGTTTGGATACAGGTTCTATGACCCAGTGCAGAAAAATCCTGTAAGAAGTCAAGATGCGGTGTTTGTAGAAGACCAGAGTATAAAAGACATCGATAAAGCCGAGATGACAGAGAAGTGCAACGATGATCTGGTTGATTTAGATTCAGTCGCTATACCTACTGTGTATCTTGATCATGGGGGAGCAGCGCCAGAGACTGATATTGGTCCTGCAAATGGTGATGTCCCCACAATTAATGATGTTGAGCCAACTGATGAAGTTGAAGAAGGGGTTCAAGAACCACCAGAAGAACCTATTTTGAGGAGATCCAGTCGAGAGCGGCGTCCGTCTACTAGATATTCCTCAAATGAGTATGTGATGATCACCGATGCCGGAGAGCCAAAAACTTACCAAGAGGCCACCTCAGTCGATGAGAAGAAGCAGTGGTTGAAAGCCATGGAAGAAGAGATGGAGTCTCTTCGCGAGAACCACACTTATGACTTGGTGAAGTTACTGAAAGGCAAGAAAGCGCTCAAAAACAGATGAGTCTATAGATTGAAGATCGAAAATGCTAGCTCGCAGCCACGATTCAAGGCACGATTGGTTGTGAAGGGTACGATCAGACAAAAGGAATCGACTTTGAAGAGATATTCTCACCGGTGGTGAAGATGCCCTCGATTCGAATTGCTCTTGGTTTAGCAGCGCGGTTGAACCTGGAGATCGAGCAACTTGATGTGAAAACTGTGTTTCTTCACGGCGACTTGGAAGAGGAAATTTGTATGGAGCAGCCCGAGGAATTCCAAGTTAAAGGCAAAGAGCATCTTGTGTGCAGATTGACGAAGAGCTTGCATGGCCTTAAACAAGCTCCGCAGTTGTGGTACAAGAAATTCGACTCCTTCATGGTGAGTCACGGGTACAACCGGACATCGTCAGACCATTGTGTTCGTCAAGAGGTATTCTGATGATGATTTTATTATTCTCCTCTTGTACGTTGACGATATGTTGGTCATAGGCCATGATACTAGCAAGATTGCTCAGTTGAAGAGAGATTTAAGCAAGTTTTTTGCGATGAAGGACTTAGGAGCGCCGAAAAAGATACTCGGTTTGAAGATCTCTCGTGATAGAAAAAATGGGAGGCTATGGTTGTCCCAGGAAGACTACATCGAGTATGTACTTGAGAAGTTTAACATGAGCAAGGCAAGGGTGGTGTGTTCTTCACTTGCAGGTCACTTCAAGCTCAATTCGGAGCAATGCCCTACAAGTGAAGAAGACAAGGCATACATGAGTCGAGTTCCTTATGCGTCTGCGGTTGGCAGTTTAATGTATGCCATGGTGTGCACCAGGCCCGATATTGTTCATGTTGTTGGAGTAGTCAGTCGCTTTCTCTCTAATCCGGGAAGAGAACATTGGAAAGCTGTCAAGTGGATATTGAGATATCTCCGAGGTACCTTAAGTGCATGTTTATGCTTCGGTGGTGGTGATCCTATTCTGGTTGGATATACCGATTCAGATATGGAATGTGACGTTGATTCCAGAAAGTCCATTTCAGGATTTCTAATGACTTTTGCAGGGGGAGCCGTGTCGTGGCCGTCTAAGCTGCAAAAGTGTGTTGCATTGTCTACCACAGAAGCCGAGTACATTGCGATTACAAAAGGTTGCAAAGAGGCTTTGTGGATGAGGAAATTTCTAGAGGAATTGGGCTTACACCAAGAGAAGTATGTTGTGTTCTGTGATAGCCAAAGCGCTATCCACCTCTCTAAGAACTCGTCATTTCATTCGAGGTCCAAGCACATTGAAGTAAGGTATCACTGGATTCGAAACGTTCTCAAATCAAAACAATTGCACTTAGCGAAAGTGCACACGAGTGAGAATGGTGCAGACATGATTAGGAAGACTTTGCCGAAAGAGAAGCTTGAAGTATGTCGGCGAAGAGCGGGCTTGTTGGAGCCCACCACTTGATCCGGAAGGGGAGTTTGTTGAGTCCGACCCGATTATGGTGGGCTTGGACTAAATAAGGGCCAAAGGCCCATTTTCTTTTCATAAAANNAAAAAAAAAAAAAAAAAAAAAAACTGTTTATAACCTATGTAGGTTATGTGCGCAGACAGAGAAGAACAAAAAAAGGAACAGAAAGAAAATCAAACCTCTCCCCCCTTTTATTCCCGCAACTGCACTGTGCAGTCTCGGAAAATCGCTGTTTCCCGGAGATTTCACCGTTGGATCGTTACCAAATTTGTATAGCAGGTTCATAACTTCTTATTATTCGTTTTGAACGGTGGAGATCGGATTTTGAACACGTTTTGGCTGTCTGTTCGTATCTGACGTGAAGGGGATATCTGTGGCGTTTTTGTTGATTTGGTCCTTGTGGTTTGCCAAGATCTTGTGTTGTGATCTTGAGGATTGTTGTTTGCCTCTAGTTTAGTGAACTAGAGAGGATTTCGTTGTACCTATTATCGGACTGATATATTGGATGAATTAAGCAGCCTACGGGTCCCGTGGTTTTCACCCAACTTAGGGTTTTCCACGCTAAAATATTTTGTGTCATTTTATTGCTTGTTTGATCATCGATTGGTTGCTATTGATTGTGGTTATTTGTTATTAATTGGATTTGGTGCTTATTGTTCGGTTAAAGTCATTATTGTATTTGGTGGCTTTAACCACAATAGAATTCATATCCAATCACCTCCTGACTAATCCCCACGAGCTTCTTCTCCATTCTCATTGAATCACCGGGTAAAGTTTCTAAAGAAATTTTTTAGATATTTTATAACCCTTAATGATACAGATAATTATATTGTCCAGGAATTTCCATTGATGTGGCCATTAGTAAACTATCAAAGCTATTTGAGAAATAAAATTGTTAGGAATTTACAGCTATCACACCATATATGTAAAATATCACAACTATATGGTAACTCCCGATGCTTAGAATGAAGAGCTTGAGGTAACAGAAAATCTTAAAAAGCTAGCAAAACAGAACCTAACCTGCTCTCACTGTATGAGGTAACAAATACAAGTTTACACCAGAAATGATACTCTTTTCCCCCACTTAACTTCCTTTTGGATTCAGGTTTCTGTTGAACTTGTCCTTGATCTTTGCAACAAGTTTATCATATCCTTCATCAGTGGGCACTCTCTCAACTTATCAATCCAACAAAAAATAAATATGGTTCCTTTCGACTGGATAGTCAGGGGCGGAGCCACCCCAAAGGCTGAGTGGGCTCCAGCCCAGTCTGGTTCCCAAAATTTTTTTCAAAAAAAAAATTTAGCCCATTTTTTACTTACTAGCCCAGGTCAAATAAATGTTAGTGCCTCATAGTCCAGTATGATTTTTTTTTTTCTGGCTACGCCCCTGGATAGTCGACTTCAAGAGCCTCGAAAAATGCTTTGTAGTTGCAACCATTCGATCCAACAATAATATCAAGATACCCGAGCATATTATGCAAATCAAGAGCCGTTCCTTTAGCGTCTCTGAGAACTCGTCCATTGCTGTGTCTCTTTCTAGGCCACTCGACACAAATATGTTGATCATTCAATTCATGTACTAATAAATATCAAACAGAGGCATAGTAAGGTTTTCACATCCAACTGTTTTACAACTTAACCTCACATTTTTTGCTCCATCTTTTTTTCCCCTTTTCTTTCTTTCTTCTATTTTTTTTTCTGTATTTTATTCTACATTTAGCATATACGGCTTTTTTTTTTTTTTTGCCTGCTAGTCTTTATTAAAGTTGATTGTGAAGGCTATTGTGTAAATTTTCAACCAAAATAGAATATTCGAGGTGGAGTACATCTTAATTTCTAGTGTAAACACTGAATGACCAAATCAACTAATGAGATAGTCTCCGTAGTACTTAATTCAACTACATAAAATAGCTAAAAAACAGAATAGGATTTTACCTTTTACCATCATACTTGGTTATACTTATAGGTACTTGCAAATGCAGGAATCTTGCAAATGAAGTATGTCAAGTATATTTTCTCCTTCCTATAAAAATTACCAAACGCTAATTAGGCTCATATCTCTCGACCTGCTTATTTAGTTAGAAAATAGTATGCTAGACCGTCCGTCACGCCAATATGAATGCTGTTGTTATGTGATTGTTAACAACGATTTGAAAGTAGGTTGATGTGATTGTTATTGATGATTCTAACGTAAGACACGCATTAAATACTCAACAATGGCCCCGGTCCGAGGTGAAAAGCTTCTGTGAGCTGTTTCGTGTTTCATGGTTAAAATTTTGGTTCGGGTCTCGAATCCCCGTACAAATATCAGGAGTTGGTTATTTATAGTAACTTTTTGGGATACATATCGGGATTCGTGCGTTGCTTTTTTCATAAAGCTCCTTTTGATGGGCGGTATTTGTCAGCGGGTCCCACTTGACCTCGTATTTTGTGAAGATGGTGCGTAGACGCCTTGTCACCAGCTTAGGAGGTGGTGATCTTGGTTCGTAGCGACTTCGGTTCTGGGATGATCTCGGTTGTGAGGGTCACCTCGGTCTTCTCTAGCTTGGCCAGTTCGGTATGCGGACTGGGGTGACTGTCGGCCATGTTATTGTTGGCACTAATCCACTTAATACGCGGTTTAAAGGTTTCTAACTTTGGATTACCGAGTTGGATGATAACAGAGAGGCCCCCAGTATCGGCGGGCATACGAAGTGATGTCCGTCGGTACTTCAGGATGAATTTGAGACTCCGACTCGGTAATAAGCCGTAGGAGGGAAGTGTTCGCTCTGAGGTGCTGGTATATGTGAATAAATAACCGAAGTGGGTTTGTGTATTCCGAGATGAAGATTAATTTCTGAGGTGAGAACACTTGGCGAAAATTTGAGCCAGATCTGGGCAGCATAGAAAAAGATTTGAAGGGATGTAACGGTCGGGCATTTAATGGAGAGTGCGAAAGGTCGCGCCGTAATGGTCTTAAATATAATAACGGCTACTTTAATAAAATAACGGCCACTTGCACCGTTTAAGAGGAGAGGTCGCGTCGGTTACACGTGCCTTCAATTGAGAACCCTAACGGTTAGAAATTAGGGCTTATAAATAGGGCGTCGAGATTTTTAATCAAACTTTCTTCACTTTCGCTTCCATCTTCGAATTCTCGCAAACTGCTATCGAGATTCTTCTGCAAAATTAAGAT